AAAAAAAAAAAAAGAGAGGAATTTTTCTCTTTTTTTTTTTGTTATATGATTTTTCATCACATATTTTTATTTAATTTTCTTTCCATTCCTTTCCTTTCCTTTGCTTTTCCACTTTTCGTTTTGTAATTTTTTGTTTTTTTAGTAAAAAAAAAGATCTATTTTTATTTTGTTGCTTCTATGCATATGTGTTTTGTTGTACTGTCTTTTTGCATGTGTAATTTGTGTACAATTTGATTTTTTTTTTTCTCAGCTAATACCTTTTAAGAAGCTTTTTTTTTGAGGTTCCTTTTTTTTTTCAGTCATATTTTTTATGTCTCATATTTTTTTTCTGTTCTGTTCTACCTAATTTTTTCTTCATTTTTTTCTGACCAAAACTGATTATTGTAGACTTTGATAATAACGTCTACAAGTAATAAAAAAGGTTCAGTAAAGAAAAGTAGCAGTTTTTTTGTTTCTCCTCTTTTAATAATTATGGTTACTTTTAACAACATTTTAATGTACACACCTTTTTAATGACTCAAATGTCATTGCAAAAAGAGAGGAAGAAGAAGAAGAAGAAAAAAAAGAATTTTTTTTTTTTCTGTTAATTTAATTTAGCAAAATGTCAAATATGTTTAAAAAAAATAAGTGATGAAAAATAACAGCACAAATCTTTTCGACATAAACTTTCTTCAACAACAATTTGCCATTTATGCTGCTCAACTGCAAAACGTCATACCGCAACTCTTCTTTTATAGTTGGTTTTTTTTTTGCTTTAAATTTTACTCTGTTAGGAAACTAATTTGATCTTTTTAGGCGTCCTAAAAGTTTTCGATTTGGTGATCGATTTGGAATTCAACCAATGAAACCTCGACCAATTTCACATTTTGATCAGGAACCAGTTTACAGTATCAGCAATGTATGCTTGTTTATCATAGTAATTCTTCAAAAAACTTTTGCTTTTATTATACGACAATCTGAATATTTAGTCATTGTTAAAATTCAATTATTTATTGAGAAATAAATTACTGCTATTAAAAATGGTTGATTTTTTTCTTTTTTTTTTTTCATTAATTGAAAGTTGCAGAAATTAAAGTTTTTTTAGCGACGTTCATCACTTCACGATTCTACTAGTGAACTTTATGCTGGTCGTAGCACTCAGGTAACTTCTTGAATTCTTTATTAAACTCAAATAAAATTATCTGTATAAAGCAGTGCGTAATAAATGACAAATTTTTTGAAGGGTTTAAAATGTTTAAATTAAAACAAAATTTCAGCCAGATATTCCATCCCGTCCCGGTTCTCCGCAAGTAGTCGCTGGCCCTGGTGAAATTATTAACACAGAGCATGGGTTTACCATCGAACTTGATGCCAAGCATTTTAGGCCTAATGACATTAAAGTAGGCGTTGAGCGGAATATTTACGAAGAAAAAAATCATACTTTGTTCAATTGCAATACTTATTAAAGGGCTTACAATAAATTTTTTGTTTTGCGTATAAGAGCCCATTTTCAGGTGACACTTTCTGGAAATACCTTAACGGTAGTTGGAGATCGGCTTCACGACGATAGTACAGGTTCGCAGACATTACGACGAACTTTCACGCGAAAATATTCTATTCCTTACGATGTCCAACTTTCTTCAATTTTGTCGTATATGACCGATACAGGCTTATTAATCATTAGAGTAAGTTATTATGGACTCCGCAGATGTAACAAGTACAGTAACATTTGTATAATATAATTACTGTTATTCTTTCGATATTACTACAGATTACTGAAGAAGAACCTGTCAAGAGACCAATATTTCATTTATATTTCCCTGTTTATTTCACCATTAATTGTGCTGCATTCGGAATGAAATGGTTTAGGGAAGTCGAAAAGGCTGGAAAGAAACCGAAATCTCAATTCAAGTCGTCCCGCCGGTAGAAGGACGAACTCGTTCTTCAGTGATGAGTGTAGTTTAACGGAACTTTTGCGGCTTTACAACTATTATTCTACTTGAAGTTCTCATTTGTGCTGTTCAGCTCAACTGCCAGAATGTGATATAAGATGCTTCATCTATGTATAATTATATTTTCTCCCTTCATAACAGCTTATGATAAAAAATGTTTCTTGTTTTTTCTCCAATTACGTCCTACATAATTACACGTTTTGTTTTTCTTTTTTTTTTTTCTTGGTAAATTATTACTTTTATAAATTTCTTCGGTTTAAATTTTTAAACTTTTTGATTCAGTTCAGTTGCAAAATAAATAAAATAAAGTGAAAGGAAACATGAGCCATATGTTTCGTTCAAAGTACACGTTTGTTCCTCCTGTTCCTTTTCCTCACCAATTTGTTGTTATTAAAGCAATAAATACTGTCCAAAAATGAATACAATTTTTGATTCTACTGGTGTGCCTAAATAATCTTTCAATAAAGTTTTGAAAAGAAAAAAACTTAATTTGAATAACAAATGATAATAACTAAAGAAAATTGTAATTTACTTTTTCAGAAAGATCAAATAAATAGTTTTCCGTAACTTCTACACAAAGTACTAAAGCACCGTTTTGATCTACGAGGAAGTCTCTGAGGTATGAGAAGAAAGAAAAAGTATTATAAAACGACAGGAACTGATTTGTCAAAAACATTTTTGAATTAAAGCTTTGGCACATCTAAGAGCTAGCTGTTTTCCCAGTTTCCAGATGTCTAAAATACAGGACCACGTTAGACCGCATAATTTTTTTCAGTGCTCTCAAAATTTCTCTCAACTGCATATTTATATATATATTTATTTATTTATATATAACGTTGGTGGGGCAGGATTATTGACAAACCGTTGATCTTCGGCAGCAGAACAGCTGTTGTTTGTGGCCAAAATGATGCCGCCGTCGATTACGAAACAGCTCACGGCTGTTGTAGTATCGTTGACCACCCTGCTTTGGAGGTCGGTCCTTTACGTCACCAATGGTCATCTGGAACTTTGATGTTGTTTTTTTTTTTTTTCAAATAAGGTTACTTGATGTTACCGTTCTCAACTTCACTCATTTTTCTTTTGGCTGACTTTCTTCAAATTCTTCTATAGTTATTTTTTGTTTTGTCGTTTCAATAGTTTCGATAGATTCATTAACATTTAACTCACGTTTTACCCACCTCAGTTACTCACAGTGCAGTAAAGAAAAGGCCAGTGGATGAGAGGACAATGAAAGTTTGCTAATGAAATGAGTATTTTCGTTTTGTCCGTCATTTCAATAATCACCATTTACTGATGTGATGGCGCAGTACAAATTGTCGCATTTCCTGTGCATATTATAAATGCGAAGGAAAAAATCCATTGTAATAGCAAAAGAAGGAAAAGACAGTATAATTTTATTAACTAGTTACTAGTTTTTTACTGTTATCTTCTTTTTGCGTGTTATGGAACGTTCAAGGTTAAAGTGATAAATGAAAAAAAATTTTGGTGTAGAAGTGCTGACGAGGTCAGCGTGTGGCATTAATTTTTATTAGTGTTGCAGATCCCTCAAATCATTAGAATTCCAACAAAAGCATCATTTTCTCATGTCGAACAGCAGCATTTGTTTATGTTTCGTTCAACTGCTCCCTTGCAAGACTCTTGTTTTCTGCTTTTTCCAAAGAACTTCATCGTCGACTTTGCAGCTGGACAAAATATTCTAACAATCGTATAATACATTTTCAAAGCCAGCTAAAAAATCCAATAGCACTGAATTAATCAACTTTGAATTCTAGTTTTAGTTGATTCAAAGCCCAGAATTATGGTTTAGTAGTTGTCAGCTCTTACAGATGTATAGTTTTTCAGTCGACAATGTTGTCAACGTGACAAATCTTCAAGGCGGATCCCACCATATATCAAATGCATGGTGCCCCATATCCGTGTAGGCTAAAATAACTAAAAAATTGCTAAAATAGTGTTCCGTCGCAAACATATTTATTTTAGTAGAATTTGTTTCATATAATGCAGCCAATTTGTTTCAGCAGTATCAGTGTGTGTGTGTGTGTGATAAAGTTATAATCTTTTAAACATTTACATATTTTAAGAACTTTATTGTAGTGAGGAATTACGTTTGCCCATCTACAATTTATAAAAAAAAAATTTTAGTTTTTGCTAGCACCTCTACCGTAAACACAATTTAAATATTGCAGAGTGAAGCCTTCATTGAAACTTTGAACAAATAATCAATCCAAAAATCACCATTATAAAAAGACCTTTGGTGCTGTTTTTGGAAACATTCAAACCTCAGTAAAGACTTTCCATCATTAATTTATGAATTTTAGAGTTTTCTACATTTTCCAATTTGGCATTTAAAATCTACATTTTTGTCCGAATCTTTTTTTAAATGATATCAGGCAAAGCACTGAACATTTATTGGACTTTATGCTTTGAAAATAACTTACGACAAACATCATAACTGCTCTCTCTGGCAGCTTAAACTTAGGGAAAGGAGGAAAAGTGAGAAGAAGAAAAAGTTAAGGAAAAGGTTATGTCATTTTTGTTCGCCAAGCATTTGGAAACTGCGACTAGCTTACAGCCGACCTCCACAAAACAGTTTTCTTTGTTTACGAAAGTCGACAATCGATTAATTTATTTTTATCAATATCGTTACTATGCAGAAGTTTGGTTACAAAGTTTAATTTTATCCTTTCAAATTTTGTTTTGATAAAGTTGACTGTGAATATCTGATGAATATTACTATAATTACTTCCTATTGACCATTAGTAATGGAAATTTGTTATAGTAGTAAAAGACTGAACCAGCTGACACTTTTTATGTTGGAAATACAAAGACTCACTTCTTGCGAAAACACTGAAAAATTTTTTATCGTTTATGGAATTTCCAAATCACCGATTTTGCTTTTTTTTTTTTTTTACTGTAATCGCTAAGATTTTATGAAAAATTAAAGCAGTCAAAAAATTTGATTTCTAAGGACACACAAATTTACGTTTTTAAACAGTCTGAAATTATAATTTTTTTGTTTCTACTCAGAGTTACCTCTAGTACCTCGCCAATGAATTAATTTCAGTGAATATATTTTTTTCCGAATTTATTTCATCTTGTATAAACATACAATAAAGTTGTTTATTTATTAAGTTCATATTTTATTCTACGTCTTCATTCTGTTTTATTTTGTTTACCTCGACTTTAAGGCTTAGTTGAGCGTTTGTGAAAGAGAATTAATTCAAACTTAGAACCATCTAACACGGAAGGTAGCAACAATGTTGAACTTCACGTAATGAAAACAAAAAGTATTTTGCTTCAGTTTTTTTACAGCAACTAAAAGTTGCAAATAGAACTGCTATTGTAGACTTTAGCAGAAGAAAGGCTTGTTTGGCTCGAAAGTAATTTGGAAGTATCGCTGCACAAAAAGCAGAAATAACTTTGTACATCAGTTTCTTCCGTAAAAGTTATCTTCCGTTCTTGTTTTTCAAGCTTTTGTTTTGTTTTCTAACCGATAAGATTAGCGACTATTTCGCAGCTCCGAACATTTGCCCAGCACTCTCTAGGTTTACGGTTTGACGATTGTGAAGAATCATTTACAGGGATCCGCGGCCCTGGGCATTTAAATTATAATGTTAGTATGCTTGTTAGGAACGGTCATTCTACTAATTTTTTCGAATGAAATATGTATAGAAGCTGCTTCCGCGGGATGTAAAGGTTGCCAGCCTCCTTGCATTTGCCCAGGAAAAAAAGGTGAAAAGGTAAGAGCAGCGTTTCTTAAGCTCTTCAAATTACATTTCAGATTTGTTTCTTTTTAGCATATCCAAAATAAATTTTATTAATAATTTTCCTAATATCTAACAGAAAAAGATATCATTGATTTGCTGTATGCTTGACGTAAAAAATGTTTATTTTTATTTTCATGCTTTTAGCTACCTAATATTTTAAATGAATACGTTGAAGGGTACACCAGGACTCACTGGCAAACATGGATATCCAGGGCCACCTGGTGAAGACGGCCCCGAAGGACCAATTGGTGCCCCCGGAATGCAAGGCGCAGAGGGAGATTACGGTGATACTGGCCCAAAAGGAGCTAGGGTAAGCTGAAACCTACCAAAGTGGAACTTACTATGGTAGCTGATGAGCAAAGAAAAAACTCTTTTTACAATCACAGCAGTAAGACTGTTAGGTGCCAGTTTATTCATAAATATCAATGAACTTATGAAGTTGGAAAAATAAGCAATCTTGAAGGGTGACAGGGGATTCCCAGGACCGCGAGGCAATCCCGGTATTCCTGGACTTGACGGCTTACCAGGACTGAAGGGAGAGATGGGTTTACCAGGATGCAATGGAACAAATGTAAGAAAGTATATATGCATTTTTTTTTTTTCGGTTCAGATTTTGCAGGGGAACCAAGAAACTTCTACAGCTTTATAAATGTTGTAAGCACATGACTTAATAAATGAAAATAAATCTACACAACTTCTATTAAGTGATAAAAACTAAGTTTTTAGGGCTACCCGGGAATACCTGGCATGCCAGGGACTCCAGGACCACGTGGTCCTGTGGGCGAACCTGGAAGAGCGGGTATTCCTGGTCCACCTGGAGAAGGTGGTGTCAATTCTGTTGGAAGAAAGGGAGAGCAAGGGGAATCAGGACGACCAGGAAGAGTCGGGATTGCAGGCCAACCCGGAGTCAAAGGAATTAAGGGTTCCAAAGGAGACAGAGGACCATATGTGAGAAATTAAATAAAACATAAGCTCTAACTAGCACAATTAGTTTCATTTTTTGATTTTGATGTCCCGTCATTTTTGTATACAAATTTATTTTGCTTACAGGGTCCACCAGGATTTCCGGGACCAACAGGACCGAAAGGAAAAATGGGATTGAGAACACCTGGTGTTAAAGGGGAAAAGGGCTTGTCAGGTCCTCCAGGCCCTCCAGGACTTCCGGGTAATTTTGCGGGTGCTTCTGCGCCGGAAGAAACGGAAATACTACAAGGACCTCCGGGAGCGCCAGGTATTTTGTAAATTAAAGACCAGCCTGTAGTGAAAATTACCATCACATAATCTAAAAGATTTTTCAAAAACTTCTTTGTAATGCCAAGGCCAACAGTTTCTACGTCTACGTTTGTTACGCAGTGTAATATTGAAGGTGAGAAAGGAGAAAAAGGCCGAGACGGTCCTTTGGGTCCTCCTGGCGCGCGTGGTCTTGACGGTCCTCCTGGATATCAAGGAATTAAAGGGCAAAAAGGCGATCCTGGCGACGCTGGGCAAAGAGTAAGCTGAAAAGGATGCGCGAATAAACTTCACAGCCAAAAAAATTTTTTTAGGGAAAAAGGGGGAAGGACGGTAGTATGGGTATGATTGGTCCCAAAGGCGAAGGCGGAGTTGCAGGTGTTGAAGGATTCCCGGGATATCCAGGCATCAAGGGAGCAGCAGGAGAGCTAGGTTACCCGGGAAGAACAGGAATAGAGGGTGATCCGGGTCCGCCAGGAGAATTTGGAGTTGGCCGTGGAGAACCTGGGCCTCGCGGCCCACAAGGACGAGATGGCTTACCTGGAATAAAAGGAAAAAGCGGTATTTTTAAGGCTGAGATATTGCTGTATAGTGTTTCGGTATCACATATATACATACGATAAAATATATGCGAGACACAAATATTATTTTTAAATACGTTGCTGCGATGAGTGCATCCCTTTACTTTTATGCAATTAGCTCTAGCTATTTCATAATTTAGTGCTATTCCGCTTCCCTGTCTTGTGCATCTAATAAAAAGGTGAAACAAAATTGTCACACTTCAGGGAGCAATGGAGAGCCTGGTCCTGTTGGAGCGAGGGGCCCCGTTGGTCTTCCAGGTCAGCCTGGAATTCCTGGCTTTGATGGACCTCCTGGATTTTCTGAAAAAGGAGACAGAGGAGAAGACGGCGATTCCGGATATATTGGAGAGGCTGGAGTCCCAGGTGAGCACGGACCACCAGGAGTACCTGGAGAGCCAGGATTTCCAGGACTGGATATCGAGGGTCCTCCTGGATTTGACGGAAGACCAGGTAGGGACGGCTATCCTGGAATGCCTGGAGATGTTGGAGATAACGGACCGCCTGGAGTTGCCGGTTTTCCTGGTACTGGAGTGAAGAAAGTTGGTCCAACTGGATTGCCCGGCTTCCCCGGGCTTCCAGGAGAAAATGGTCGTATTGGTATGGACGGTCAACCAGGTCTGCCCGGTCCATCAGGGCCAGTGGGAGATGACTGTGGATACTGTCCGGACGGCTTTCCAGGACTAAAAGGAGACTGTGGGTCACCGGGTTCTGACGGGTACCCCGGCCCTCCTGGGCCCGATGGAAGTCAAGGAGTGACCGGTCTAAAAGGAGCTGCCGGTCAACCAGGTCCACCAGGCCTAGAAGGGCTTCCGGTGAATTGTTTGCTCATTGCTAAGGAAATAGATCAATAACAGTTTTACAAATTTTTTGACTGTTTTTGAGCTTCCTAATAGCACACTCAACTATTTAGGGCATGGAAGGGTTACCCGGTTTACCAGGATTTCCAGGTTTGAAAGGAGAAGCTGGTGATATTATTGGACCGATAGAAAATCCACAAGGGCCTGACGGCGAAAAAGGAAGTCGTGGTCTTCCTGGTATATTTTTCAGCGTGGACAAAAATTAATATACTTTGTTCCCGTAAGGGTACATTATGTGGTTTTCTTGTCAAGTATCCAAAATTCCTACCTAAACAAAATGAAATGCTTCAGGGCTACCTGGTCCACCTGGAAAATCAGGAGAAAAAGGTCTCCCAGGATTACCAGGACCTGATGGAGCCCCAGGTTTTCCAGGAGAAAAGGGGTTGATTGGAGTTGTTGGTCCAAGAGGAAGGGATGGAATTGTTAGTTGTTGAATCAACTTATCTGCTGTTTAGGATTGCATTACAGACCACCAACGGGAAAAATTATTCTCAAAAATATTAGGGTACAAAAGCGGCACAAAAAGATTAGAATGTTCTTGACATAGCTCCCTAACCGTTTTTTTAGAAGCAAGATGGAGGACTTTTCGTGTCTATATTCCTAACATTTTGCAATTACCACTTTCTGTCTAATCTTACAGACGATAAAATACACCGGAAAAACTTTTTAGCCTGGACAA